TTTAATTTAGGAATGTTGTTGTTTTCCAGCACTGAATTATTCATCTTGCTTTGTTATGTTTGTTGAATTTCTTCGTCTTCAATAATTGCAAATTTATCATTGTGCTGCTTACTGCACTTTCCAAATGGTTAAATGAGGCTAAACAGTTTCCTTGTAGGGGAGGCTGGATTGCTTTTCTGGATTTAGAAAAATGTGCTTGTTCTGAAAGAGCCTAAGGATTGCTAGGAACATCGGCTAAGTGTCAATGATTACACAGAGTTTGACAGTAGTATAATCACAGTCTCACTTGCTTATTTCCCAGACTTTATCAGAATGAAAATGTTATACATAATCTAGAGTTAAAACATTAGGGAACTAAGGCATTACAATAAATGCTAGAGCTGATTTATGGAGCTTGTCTGAGGATTTTGCTGTATAGTTTGAACAAGGTGAGCATATTTACTGAATCTCCTTTAGACTCTGGATGTAATGTCAGCCCTTGGACAGGGTCAGGCAATCTGTTAACCCATAGAGCCACTGCAGAAACCAGTGTTGGTGACTGGGAGATTAGCACGGCTGTAGTCGGTCCTGAAAAGTTTCAAATGAGATCACGAAATCTGTTTTGCTGAGTGCTATTTGGATCGCCTAGGGTAGCTGCTGCCCTGAAACGCTTGTTCTGATGAGCAAGCATTTTGAAAACAGAAGTGAGCAGAACAAATGCACCATTTTAACAAGAATCATCATCTGTAAAGGACCCAAATTAGTTTCAAAGATCAAGAGATGACCGTAACTAGAAGAAAACGCTGAAGTCAAAGCGGGACAGTAGCCTTGGTTAGATATTAGTAATTCAGACTGAGATGCAAATCTGTTCCAGGTTCTGGGGAACTTGAGAGACTTGCTAAGATTTGCAAGACGTCTAGTGCAGGAGGAGTAGTTTACCAAGTGTTTTGCTCTGAACTGTTACTATGGCAACTGTTAAGTTTTGAGACTTGTCTTTGAATACTTCACGCTCATTACTAGTGAGGGCATATGCAGCTACTACTCTTTAAGATCATTGCACTAGAAGATCAGGAAATAATTACACTAACTTTCCTAAATGTAGATTTTTAGGCACACTAGAAAGGCAGTAATCATCCTTGAGAAGTTGGTGGTTCTGTACACCATGTTTACTAAGGAAGTGTAATAAACAGACTCAACATCAAGGAACATACTGAAATCTGTATAGTGTAAAATATAGTAGAATGTATAGCCAGTTTTCTTTGAAATAAAGATCTTTGTTACGTGCCTGTTAGTACACTTCTTAGTACAAACCTGCTGATTAAAATGGTAACTGACTGCTATTATCACAGCATCCAACATACAGTCTTGCTGACAATTACTACTTTGACATTTATTTAAAAGATACTGTGTTTCAAGTGCTTTGCTACCTCTATTTGGAAATGTCAAAATTAATCCATAGCATCTGTCTAAGAAGCTAAGCTTACATCATGAGCAAATTTTACTTTGGCCAAAACAATTACTGGGCTCAGTGCAAGAGGTAACTGGGTGACGTATAATGTCTCCAAAACACAGAACATAAAAAAGAAATTTTAAAAGCAAGGGCACTGCAATGTTATGATAAGTCCTTCTTTTTATACTGACTAGTAATGAAACAAAATTAAAATGCAAACCTTTTGTAATCTAGAAGGTCTTGTGCTTAGGAAAACAAAGTTTCTCTCAGCATACTGTTTAACTTCTTGGGGTGTGGCAAGGAAAGAGAGTTCTCAACTAGAACAAGAATTTGTATGTTTTCCAGTGAAAAGTATTTTCCATGGCAGTGAGTCATACTGTAACTTGAGGCTTTCTTCAAACTATTTTTTGTAGCTAGTTTGCTGTAAAAGTCACAAGTTTTCAGGGACTTACTGCATGGGACTGGCTGGGGCTTCAAAAAAAAATGATAATCTTGCTGCGTAGCAGTGACTCTCATTTGCTTGTGGATTAAGAATCTTTGCGAAAAAACCCACAGTATTTTTTCTGTGTATACTGTCCATTTTTAGACTCGGGCTATTGAATGCATACTAACACTGCCAAAAGAGCCATACAAAAGCGTGGCAATACTCCCCTCCTGCCAAATTAGGAAGCTGTCAAACTAAATTTCACTGATGTCCAAATAGAATAGAAATTAAGTCTTTTATCTTTGTGCATCCCCTTGCAGATGGAATGTCCAGCATTCTCAGATGCCTGCTTCTCATCAGCCCTAACAGCTTAGTGCACATAACTTCCCCAGCGAGAGGTGGGCCTCTTGCAGAGCAATTAGAATTTCTGGAAGATGGTAACTAGCTGAACTGTGAAAAGGAATGAAATGTTAGTGCATCTCAAATGTTATCTACTTGTGCCACAGAAGGGGAAGAATAATCACACCTGTCAGGGAACCCAGAATCCTCACCCTGAACTATGGCTGATGCTGTAATGAAAGTTTTTAGCAGATAAGCTGGAGCAAAGTGGCTAGCGAAGTCGGCACAGCTCTCCGAACTGACTAGCCTCCCACTTATGAAGGTAAAGCCAGCAGAGAAGCCATTTCACTTAACACTGATTAAAAGGCTGGAAAAGAAGCTAAGTCTTGCTCAAAAATACAAAGTTGTCTAGAAAGGGACAGTTTGAGCCTCAAGTTTCCCTATTCTGGTATATGTAAATGGGTGACAGGTAGACATCTCAGCTGAAAGCCTTTCAGTACTTTGTTAGTCTTGGAGCTTTTTCCCTATTTCCCTTGGTATGAAAGTTTAATATTAATTACAATAAAGTTTATACAGTGTAATACAAGGAAACTGGAGAGGTAACTGTTTTGTATGTGTTTGAGTCTTCTAGTTAAACTGCTGCTTGTTCAGCTTTTTGGATCCTATCTTCCATACGATGTGCAGAAGAGGCTGCTGTCACCTTTTGTATTTGCTTCCCTGTTAAAAATGTACAAAAAACTATTCCTAACTATTTAGTCCTGCTGCTGCTTTCCACATATCATATTTGTTTCCACCAAACAACATTTTGTGTGCCTGCAGGAGTATAGTTGTAGCAAAACTGCTTTGTATGTGCACCTTGAAGTTTGAATAAATACATGGGTTGGATAAATACACAGTGCCCTGGTTCATCTGGGGGTGGAGGGGCGAAGTTCATTTCTGCTCTGCATAGCTTGTGGCTTCAGTTTCAGCTGGCTTGAGCAATGCTCAGATGAGACCTGTCCCCAGAGTACCTGCTCAGCCAAGAGGGAACAGTGTCCTCGGGCAGGACAGCCAGTGCTATTGGTGGTGTTTGTTCTTGCTCAGGGCTTGACAGAAGGATAACCGCTCCTCTGAGGGATCAGAATAAGACACGTGAAAAAAAACGTGCACATTGTAAATTTGACTGGTCTGTTGGGTTGTGATAGATTCCACTTACATTTTGAGTATTTCTTGCTGTGAGAAAGTTCTTGAAAGCCCAGACATTAACAACTTACAGCTACCTGAGTCAGAAACTAGTTAGTTTGCTTTTGGAGACCACACTTCCACCATATACACACTAAATTTAAATTCTGTTCTGCAAAGGCATGGTACTTTCTTTTACTGATTGAAGTCACATAAGAAAGCAGCACTTGGCCCTCAGCTTTATTTGAGCAGCACTCAGTTCCTTTGAAACTGGGGTTGTTTCCAGAGCATTCAGGAAAGGCTTTCATAGCAGCACAGTGCTTCTGTTGGGATAATGCATGCTGGCCTTTTTTCATTCCTGAGGACCTGAATATGGTCTTCTCTTTACATAAGAGGAAATATGTGGTGCCTTGTCCAGGCATCTAAAGGACACTCTGTGCCTGCTACAAACCGCTGTGCAGCTTGGCACAACCTACAGCCAAGGATTTGGAGAGTAGGGGTGGGGTTAATAAATTCTTCATGGCTCATTGTATGCTGAGCAATGTAGGAGAAGCTTGGGTAGAAGCTAACCTGTAGCTGTAGGGGAGTTTTTTGCTGTGGCCCCATGACTTTGGGCACTGTGTTGATCTTTGACATTACATTTAGGCTTCTGTAGTTCTTTAAGTACCCTGTCAGTTTGATTAAAGAATTTTTTCTACTCTGCAACTACCTCCAGAATACATGAATTTTAACTTTGAGGTCAATCAGTTTATTGGACAGGTACAACCCAATTTTTAGAAGACTGTTAAGAGTCAGGCAGGTGACCAATCTCCTTACCTTTGTGTAATCATTTTCCACTCAGTTTGAGCTGCCTTGATGGGATCACCCGTGTTGCATCTGAGCTGCTATCAGACCACACCAGTTTGAATTTGCATCTAGACCATGTGTCAGCGCACACTTGCAGTTCTGCTGAATGACTCAGAGCGGGGAATGCTGGTGTGGGCTGGCTTCCATGCAGGTGTGGTATGGGTGGCCTAGTCACACAAGCTTGCTGGGGTAGAGTTATTCCATCAAAATGGGTTGAACAAATTTGATTTAGTGGAGTAACTACCTGCTTTCTGTTATGTGGCTGTGCCTAGTAGCCAGAGCTCAGAAGCTACATATGGGTTTGTTGGACCACAACCAAGGTATTGCAAGGCTCATAACATAACAGAAACTTGCATTCATCTAGCAAAGAGATCTTGATTATAACCTGTACTGATAAGCTACATTCAGGAACAAAGTTTGTCTTGTATATGCAATAAATGAAGTCCAAAACTAAAGATCTTACAGGATGCTGATGAGCTTTATGAGCCTCTTAAACTCTGCTTGGAGTAACCTATCAGCTGGCTCATCTTCCTCCCAATGAATATTCACTTTGGTTCCAAGGTTGAGTGCTGCTGTTAAACTACTTAATACAGAATAGCTGAAGTCTTGAATTTCTGCTAAGTATAACATAGATATTTAAGAGGGAGAATAGGGGATTGTTCTTTAAGTCTTAAAGCAACTAAATTGATAAATTACATACTTGCATGTTATAGATGGCTGGTCTAGAATTAACTTTGCCAATTTATAAATACCTGTGAAGTTGTTCAGTGTATTCCTTTTTTTCTTACGTGTCTTTTGCAGGTATTCGTTACAGTTTGGATGTTAGTGTGGATGAAGTGAAAGCCTTAGCATCTCTAATGACATACAAATGTGCTGTGGTTGGTAAGTGATAATTTCTCAAGCAAGGATACAATCTTTAATTTCAATCAGTACTGATATAATTTACAGAAAAGCATCCAAAGGATTAAATTAAGTTTTAGACTGTAATTTCTGACTACAATCTGTAACAAGATGGGGGAAAAAATATATAGTGATGAAAATAATAACACGTATTTCCTCTGCTGTTACTGTAGATACTAGAATAAAGCTACATTTTCATTTGAAAAGTCCAAATTCTGCTAGTTACCCCCTCCCATAAAAGTAATGCACTTGAACTTGAATCAAAGTATGACAAACTTGGAATAGGAGGGGGCTAATTTTAGGGGGAACGGATGGAGGCTGTAAAAGATTCAGGCAGGGAAACTGTGGAGAGAGAAGGATAAAATTCCTTTATGGTTCATAAAGAAGTATAATTCACACATGGCTGCTAAATTATAGGGGAGTTTGGAGAGAATCTGCACATTATGTATGCAAAACCAAAATACTTTCTTAATGTATATCGAGACACTTCACTTAGGACTTCCAAAGTAAAATTTATGAGCTAAACCAGTAAAACATAAACTGTACAACTTAGTGTTTCTGTAAGTCCCATGTACAAGAGCTTGAAGTGTAGAAAATTTGAATCGTGAATTTCTGAGTTTCAAAGACCATTTTCAAGCTGCCCTTGAAATATTTCCCATTTTTATAGAAGTACCTAGATGAGAGCATAGCTTGTGCCTGTAAAGCCCTAAATGTGGCAAAACCAAATTCACCGCTAAAATCAAAGATATAATTCCTTACACGTAATACTAATGCGTTCTGCATTTGTTGAAAAAGTAAAATGATTTTCCTTTGCATTCTTGTAGATGTGCCATTTGGTGGGGCAAAGGCTGGTGTCAAGATCAATCCCAAGAACTACACAGTAAGCTTAATCATAGATAAAAATTTGGTTACCTGCAGTACTGAAGCCAGCCAGTTAGAAAGGCTCTTCTAAGGGCATTATTGACCACTTAAAACTTCCTGTCGCTTCTGCCTCTGTAAAGGCCAAATTTAGCTTGTGCATGCAATAGGTGGGAAAAGAATTTTTACAAGGTGTGTGTTTCAGAGGTAGAATACTTCAATTATTTAATTTATTACTTTTTTTTTCTTAAAGTCAGAAGACTACAAATAATTTGGAACCTGAAATTTTTTTTGTTGATACTGTTAATAAAAGCTTAAATTACTCTTAGAAAAAAGTTAATGGTTTTGTTTATTTTGACAAATAGTTTTATGCTCCATTAAACCTTTCTGTGTAGTGTTCCAGTGTGAATAATAACTAACTTGGCTTATAAAAAGTTTACTGCAGGCTTGCCTTCTTGCCCTAATTAAAGTAATTCGTACGGAAGGGAATACTAGAATGCATAACAGATATTCTAAATTGGGAACTCCTGTAAGGATTTGTGTGAAGTTGTTCTACTGTGTTGCTTACACCGCCAGCAGGCTGGCTGTTGCTGGTTATAAATCACTCACATAGGATATCAAATTTGTTTGCTGGAAATCTCTGCTGCAAGCACAGGTGGTTCTTCCTGTGCCACACTCCTGACACGTTGTGGATCAGAATGTACGGAAAGAAAGCGGTGTGTTTCCTTGTGCTGCCTGAATACCAAAGATCTGTTAGGGAGTGGCATATGAATTATATAAATATATGAATCATCCTTTCTTCTGAAAGAAAAGGATGTCTGTTTATGCTTGGGCCTAAGTTCTAGCAAATATTAATAAACACTAATGATTTCTTGTGATATTCATTGCATTTTCTCCTTAGGACAATGAATTGGAAAAGATCACAAGAAGGTTCACCATGGAGCTGGCAAAAAAGGGCTTTATTGGTATGTTGTGCAATTTTACTATGAAAATTTAGGAAGCTGATTTATTGTGCATTGACAGCATCCACTAGGTAGTATCCTTAAATAACTGTATTTTTGAGAGCTGTGCATAATTTGGGTATAGAACTTTCAGCACAGAGCCACAAAGAATTGAGTCGTGTCTTAGTGCATTTTGAAGGGAACCGTCAGCTTTTTTTTCTGGTAGCTGTTCTGCTATGCAAAGCCTCAAAAGCTGAGCTCACAGGATCCGAATGAATCACTTTCCTCTTAGAGGTAGATTATAAAATTGTGACCAAGTTTGTTGCAGTTTTGATCTCTAATATCACACTCCTCACTGTTACTGTTTCCTGTAGTCTCAGTTGAGGCTTTTGGCAGATATCTGAGGAAACAGAGGAAGGAAATAGAAGATCCACCCCAGAGAAAGTTGCTGACTTCACCCATGGCAACCACAGGCTGCAAGAAAAGCATAAGCAAGAAGCATAAGTGCCTGTTGTAACAGAACCTCAGCTTCTGTGATGTTAGTAGGTGTTTCATTCAGACTCCCAGCCCTGAGTTGTTCTGATAACTTACTGTCTGGAGTTGCTATCTGGAAGTCTCCTCTGGAGAAAGCTGAATGTTACTAGCTTGACTTGTAATTAAATAGAGGGTCAGAACCTGGAGGAGGTGGTTATTGAAGCGAATAATAAGACATGTAACTAGTTAAAGGTCTGTCATGTCTTCCTGGTGTCTAACTTCCCCTGGGAATGTATATCCGTTTATTTGCATTTTCTTGCTCTTCAGCCGGAGTGCTTCTCATCTGAATTAAGCTTCTGTATAAGCACACTTATTGATATTACATGTGACTAGGATAATATTATACACTATGCCAGCTATCGTGATTGTTAGTTCAGTGATAATCAAAATGGTTTGATTAAATTTGTCTTCCATTTTGGCTCTATGGTTGGTGCTATGCAGCTTTCACAAACCTTTTAAAAATACTTAGGAAAAGAATCGGTAGAGACAGAGTTGCGTTTAAAATCTTGCTGAGCCAATCCCTCTGATCTTAAATAGGTTGGGCAAGTGCTATTTTTAGTTGTCTAGAAAAACAGAGTTTGGTTTTATTATGTGTGTGGAAGTTCTTTCAAAGGTTTGTTTCATCACAAAAGATGTAATGCCTCTTTCTTGAAGTGAGGGGTAAAATCAAATCGACATGCTACAGTGCAATGCCTAGAAACAGCCTATCTTCAGTTTTTCAACGCACCCAGGAACAAAAAGGAAATCCTAATCCAAAAATAAACAATGAATGTCATGGTATATAAAATCATACATACCTAAATAGCACCTTTCCTGTTGTTACAGCAATGATTATCAAAAAAATAAAAACAGAAATATGCTGTTGATGCATTATGTCACTCTTTTTGTTGACAAACTGAGCTCCATTGTACTGAATGGCTTGTGTGTCAGGTTGGAGGTTTCGACAGTATTGCGCAAATGCGCGATACAGCACCTAAAACTGAAATGAATTGAGAAGAATCTGTTGTTTGCATAATAAACTGAGGATTAAACAGTTCTTCTCTGCCAAGCCCTACACAGTTCCCAAGGGAATAATGGTTGATCCTTAAAAGCTGTTTTCACTGTTGCCGACAGGACCTGGTGTTGATGTGCCTGCTCCTGATATGAGCACAGGGGAGAGGGAGATGTCCTGGATTGCCGACACCTATGCCAGTACCATAGGACACTATGTAAGGTTTGAGCAGAGGCATTGAAGTAGAAAAGCTTTCTTGGTCTTTGCAGAAATCCTTATATCTACAAATTTATTACCATGCTGCTTAGTCATATAATTTTATTTAATTATGCAGAGCTAAATATATTCTTGCAAACTGTAACAGCTTAATTGGTGTGAGGTTTTTTTGGGTACAGTTGAGGAAAAATAGCTTTAAGGTTAATATTGTTAAACGATGCTTAAATGAAGTTTGATACAATACTGATTGCAACTGTTTAGCAAAAAGAAAATACACTTTTTTTAAAGGTCTCATACTTAGGCTAGAATTGGTTTCTATTTCTACCATTTCCTTCTGCTTTTCATTAGTACTATAATTACTAATTTAATGCTGTCAAACAATTAGTTCGTATAGTCTTAAAGGGCTGAAATCTTTCTGTGTCAGACTACTGAATTGACGAGTGTTATTGAATAAATGCTCTGGCTTTGTGCACTCAAGACATCATGAGAATTAGGTTTGCATTGTTCGTATAACCTGTCAAAGCACTAAAGTTCTCTGTGATCCCCTAAAAGTAACAAGTAATCAGTGTAGACTTCAGCAATTTCTCCAAAATGTAAAACAAAAGGACACTGACACAATTTCTTGCCCAGAAGGCGATAAAAAAATTAAAGTTTTAAAAAATTAGTTTTTAATTATAGCCCTTAATTTGGCCTTTGTCCTTATGTTGCTGAGGTTATTTGTACCTGTTTTGACTGTACCAAAAAAATGACTGTTGACCAAACGCTTTTGTTGTATACTTTTGACTGGTTGGATGAAAGAAAAGTGTATGATGGGCAACTTATTTCTTAAAGCCCTACTGTTAATGCTACCCTAACTTTCTAGCTTCTCTTTCAGATGTTGTTGCTGCTACTCCAGCAGGGCATGCTTTGCTAAGCAGTCTTGCCATAGCTTCGTATTAGTGCGTTAATATGCTAAGCTATTGCATGATTGCCTACCCCAAGTCCTTTTGGATTGAAGAGACTCCTTCTTTTCATTTTCTTCAGTCCCTTCCAACAGTTCCTCAGAAATACAGCAGGGTGTACACTTCCAGTAACAAGGCATGAGAGCCACCTAACACGTATTTCTCTCTGGTGTGTCTGTTCAAGACATGCCTGGCTTTCCTGAGACAGTTTCTTGGCAGAATACTTGTGCTGTCTGATGTCTTTAACAACAGGAGGATGGGGTGGCACAGATTACTCGAGATTTGAAATACAGTCTAAGGTATCTTATGGGATAGGGGAAAGGAATGCTTGAGGAATAGGCTGTGGCATGCTGATTAGTTAAGTTAAATCACTTTTACACAGAGCTGTCTAGTAGATAGGGATATCAGTATAAAACATTACTTGCTTTTTGTTATTCGCATATGTAAATGTAAATATTGTAGTAAAAACTTTAAACCTAATAAAAAGCAAAAATTATTACTTCAAAAAGACTTCAACATGCAGAGTGGCGATTTGCTTCCTCAGTCATAATTTAAAATTCAAACATTTAAGAAAACTACTGCCTCAAAGCATTTTAAGTTTTAACATTCAACTCCTTGGACTGAAATGTGTATTTCACTGAGATACAACAGTGTTGTTGCGTTATGACTGACACAGAAGGCTCACGGCACATGACCTGCTTTAAGATTTGCTGTATTTGTTAATAGTTCACATACAGTTCTATGCAGAAGCTTCAGGTTTTTTTACTAGGTGGAAAACTAAACACTGATACAGGAGAATTTTTTAAATGTCTGAATCTCTTATTCTTTCCACTTTATCATCTCAACTTCTTGTGTACTCCGACACATACACACACTTCAATAACAAAAGAAAGTAAACCAACAACTACTGAGGATAAAAATACAATTTGAATTATGCCACAACAGCTTCTTTTATTCCTAGACTCTCTGCATGGCAGTATCTTATTCTTGAAGAAGAAAAAAAACTGAGAGGATTTAGGAACATTTTTCTGGAAAAGTTAATTAAAGAATTGAAATAAAGAAAAATGTCAGTTTATTTTTGTTGGATTGCTTGTTTGAACATGGAAGAGAGAATGGTAGCCATAGTGGAACTTACGAGCTATTGTGGAGAATAACCAGGTGCAGAGAAGGAAGGTGGGAACACTGACAAGGCTATAGAAAGTGGAATAATTTGTCAAAACCAGTTTGTAGAGGAAGATGTTTCAGATAACTATCTGGTTGAGACACCAAGAACAAAAATGAAGGTGATTAAGGAATACTGAATATAGAAAAATGACCATGGAGGAAGGAGGAGAGGCAACTAAGAGCAGAAAATGACGATTGAAAAAAACTGAAACCAACCATAATTCAGAAAACAGATGGAAGCTATATGAGGCACTACATTCAGTTGAGTGGAAAGATAATGCTTATGTGAGAGGGATCTGTCTGAGAAATCTACTTGATGAGTCAGTGTGGCTGCACGCAGATGTGTTCAGGGAACTTGAAGTGCAAAGGAAAAGTCAAATAACAGATAAAAACAGATAGGGGAAGTCTGCTCGAAACCTAATGTATGGAGCCAGGGAGCTGGAGAGACAAGGAGAACATTACTGCAGCGTGGAAAGGGGTTAAGAAACAAGCAGAAGTTCAGTGTCTGAACTTTGCCAGCTAAGTTCATAGACTATTTGTACTAATACAGAAGTCTTTAATGCTAGCCATAAGCCATTTTACAAGCTTATAATTAAAAGCCATGGTCTTTCTTTTTGGCCCAAGATGTGTTAAACATTTTTTTTGATGGACTTAAACACAGAGTTTTTAGGACTTTGACATCGACTGTGGTTTGTATATGTGACTTTAAGAAGACCCGGACCTGCCCTCACCTCAGGTTCTGTTTTCTTGCCAAACCATGCAAGTCTTTAATAACTTTATGTTAACTGTCCCAGAAAATCCATCTTAAGCTGCTGGATCACTGATTTATGTATGTCTAAAGTTTTTGATTAAATTCATCCTTTCCGCTCTTCTGTACTTACTGACACATCCAACTGACTTTTGGGACACGTGAAGGCATGTGTTGGAACTTCATTTTAATAAAGTCCCAACACTTTGGGGACTTTAATAAATAGATTCCATGTATGGTGGGAGGCTGTGTTTCTTCAAGTATTTATAAAACGTACTTCCTCTATTGTGAATGCATGAAGGCTAGAATGTCGTTTCAGTCTGAAACAGAACGGAAACCTAAAACTACATCAAAATGCCAGGGCAAGTTGTTCCTAGCCCAAACACCACCACAGATCTTGTTCATAGTCGATGTGCCAGCAGAGGGAGCGTACAGCTTCATGAGAGCAATACAGCTATATTTTGGGAAACTGAATGAGGAGTTTTGTGGCAAGCCCAGCGTCGCTTTTATTATTTTTAAAGAGAAGTTATCTTTGGCTTTATATGGTTAACTCATGATCATTTTCAAATACTAGTTTTCATTTCTTTTATAGCCCTAGTCATCTCCTGCTGTTCTGCCTCCGCTTACTTTTGTCTGCTTCTTTCCTTCCTCTCACCAAGCATCTTGCGCTGAGGCCACAGGCATGCAAATGCATTTGGCACAAGTGATGGAGAGGAGGGAGCCTCCCAGTGAATATGCGGCTGGTGGAATAGAACCCCATCCGGCTGCTGGCAGACTCATTTCAGTGGATTTCTTTTCATCCCTACTCTTTCACTTACGTTGGATGCCAAGCCACTGTGTGACTGTGCTCCCAGGGTGTGGGAGCATGGGAACCAGTGGTGACAGAAGAGGGAGGCCCAAACAATGTCTGGTTTAGAAGAAGTTTTTTCAAGTTATAGATTTCAATTTGAAAAATTAACTCTAGTTTTAAATAGTCTATTTTATCTTGGCTAGCTTTCTGGCATATGGAAAGTTTAATTTTATTACCACCAAATCAGTGATAGAGGCCTGATTGTGTATATTGCTTTTCTGAACAAAAGTAGTAAATACTTATCTAACTTTTCCCATATGACTTTCATACTGTAGATTTTCCTTTGAGATCAAACATCCCTGTGTTCTGACAACGGGAAGGTGTTAGGCCTTTTTTGTTTCAAAAGCACTGAATTTGTCATAAAGGAACACTCTGAACACTGTTTAAAAATGATTAAAAACCAGTCCAAGGATATGTCTGAGCCCTTGAAAAGATTAAAATGCCAAGAATAATGATGGAAATTACGGCTGTAGTAAGAGCTAATTTTGAGAAACACATCCCTCAAAGCTTTTTGATTTGTCAAGGATCTGCTCGTTGCTAACTGTGCACCATATATGTCACCATGAATTAAATACAACAAAAAATTGCAGAGCCTATCCAATATTGCATTATGCAAATTTCCTGACATCTACTAGAGTACTTCTGAGAAGGTGTTCAAATAAAGGCAAGAGGGAAATCATCTTTACAACCTAAATGTATAAACTATATCATGCTCAGACTCTTATGATATGTGTTGTCCCTTATCTCTGAAGTGTCCAAAACTTCTTGTTCCACCTGTGCTTTGATTAATGCCATAGCTCACAAGTCCTTCGCTGTTTTACAGGATATTAATGCACATGCATGTGTAACTGGTAAACCCATCAGCCAGGGTGGGATCCATGGACGTATATCTGCAACTGGTCGTGGGCTTTTCCACGGAATTGAAAATTTCATCAATGAAGCATCATATATGAGTATAGTAGGAATGACTCCTGGATTTGGGGATAAAACATTTGCTGTTCAGGTAACTTTTTTTCCTTCAACTACAGGGAAAAGGTAGTAAACAAAATTCTAGTAGAGCTGCTCTTAAAAAGGGCTACAGCAATAAATCCTGTTAGGGTTTGATGACTTCCAAGTTAACCTTTACTCTCAAACTTAAAAAACACTTTTCAAGCAACATAGGTGCCCTTTATTTTGGACTGTTTTTTATAAAACTGAACTTTCGATTGCAGTCTACAGGCACAAAGCCAAATATCCAGTCTTTATAAACATAGGCTGCAAAGAAAAGAGTGAAATACTGTTACAGGAGTTCTTCAACTAACAGGAGTTCAGCTTTGAACAGTATGTTAAATGGAGGATTTGAGGGATTGCTTTGTTTTGTTCTTTTTAGTACCAATGCACTGTAGTTAGAAATAGCAGAGTGACTGTAACTTCCGAGTTGTCCTCTAGTTAACCAGTAGGCTGAAACAAACGTCTCTGCCCTGCATGGACCCAGCAGCACACTCATCGCCCTGCACTTTGGCATTTTTGTGTCTGGCTAACCAACAGGCCCTTAAGCATAACTTAGACTGAAAATATGGCTACAAGAATAGCTGAAGATTTTTCTAGGAAAATGAGGATATAGCATTGCAAAGAGACCTAATGCATGACAAACTGTTGTATTGCTGTTTGCTTCTAATATATAAACAAAAATCCTAAGGAGAATTGGAACTGTGTAATACAGGAATTCAGTACTCAGCTTTTTTCCAGCATAGAATCTTACTACAAACTTTTGACATGGACTATGTGACTTTTTGGTCTAGCATGCATGTTTCTTTACTTCCAAAGTGTTGAATAATGGCCTGGAGTTAGGTTTCCTACACCAGTCAGGATGTAAAAAATACTAACTAAATACAAGATTATCTAAGTTTAGATTTAGGCAATCTGTTTTGTACAGGACCACTTCAGAAATATATTAGAAGTTATCTAGTTTGAGTGTTTTGATGTGAGGAATTAATGATATCTTGTTTAATGCTGTCCATTGTGGGATGGACTTTACACTTGTAAGCCTTCCTTACCCACATTATATGAGAATGTTTCTTGGCCTGCAAATGTTAGCTGAATCTTTAAATAGTCATACAAAAATCCATGAATCCCTCGAAAACAGTGCCAGTTATAAAATAGATACCCATAAAGTTCCTATGTTGATAAATAGCGTAGTTTTGATGCTTTCATAGTGGCATTGATGCTTCCCTTCTGTATTTCGAGTATAAAAAATTTAGCACAACTGTACATTGCTGGCTGCAATGAGTAAATCTACAGTGGTATTCAGACTAGAATAGAATGCAGGTAGATTTATTCCATCTTTCCTATACACATCATCTAATACCAAGATATATGAATAGATGAAGAACTATTTAAAGCTATATAAGCCTTAGCATTAATCATCATTTTAGCTGAAGGGTTAACTATTCCCTTTCTCTTTCCACCTTCAGGGATTCGGTAACGTGGGCTTGCATTCTATGAGATACTTGCATCGTTTTGGAGCAAAATGCGTTGCTGTTGGAGAGTTTAATGGTTCTATCTGGAATCCTGATGGGATTGACCCAAAGGAACTAGAAGATTACAAATTGGTATGAAACTTAGCAGAATTATTTTCATTTTTGTCAGCTTTGCAAGCACATAAAATGACTGTAGACTGGTGTTAATTTGTGATTTTTAAATCATGCTGCAATTAGTACTTCGAAAATGGCTTAGGAACGTTGATTCTTCTGGCTTTCTCCTTATGCCCCATATGAATGCAGGTGGTTAACACTAACTGATCTTGTGGCCTTGGCTGTCTCTGCAGTTATAACATGGTACTTTTTTTACCCTTTGACCTGACTCTCAGAAAAATGCTTGCATGTGTACAGGCTAATTACTTTGGTTTCAGAATTGGAGTTCATGATTATTTTGCCTTTCTTATGACTAAACTAGGAAGGAAGTCTCAAGGAACCATGGCAAGGAGGTTCCTAAAGGATTCCTAACTGAGAATCACAAGCATATGGACATTTAAGACTTTGAAGTACACTTTTGCTGCTTCTTACCTGTTGGATGTTTCTGAAAAATTGAAAGCCTGTCTGGAACTGTGACTTGAATATGTAGTTTATAATGAAAACTGGATATGGTGTTTTTATTTCACTTTCAAAGTGAAGCAGTCTTGAGGGGACAGTTCACAGGCACTAAAATACGATCTACCAGTTAGAGTTTCTAAGGGGCTTAACTGAGGTGTCTTCTTTTATGTAGGGAGCATTTAAATGTCTTTATCGCCCCTTTCTCCAAAGAATGAAATACTCCAGAGCTCAAGTGGTTATCCATGTCTTTGGCCAGAGAGCAGTTACGCCTCAGTCATGGCAACTTGGACTGTGGTCCAAGCTTTGTAGTTTGCTTTTTATGCCTAAGCTAAATAAAGACAGGAATTACGTTATGTGCTGTCATTCTAGTACTGTTGCTTCTCTCTTCTTTCTTTTTTGAAAGTTAGAAGAAGGGAAGGAAGTCAAATGGGTACATGCACACTAAAAACACCCTGGTTTGTTTCCTTCAAACAGCAACATGGGACAATCATGGGCTTCCCTAAAGCGCAGAAACTTGATGGCAGTATTCTGGAAATAGACTGTGACATACTCATCCCTGCTGCCAGTGAGAAGCAGTTGACTAAGGCCAACGCTCACAAGGTTAAAGCAAAAGTAAGTTGGAGGTTCAATTGCAAATGAAAAGTAGACAAGGCCTGTTTAAATACTCGTAGTCAATAATTAGTATGGGTGGAAACAAACATATACCTCTGAGTTACTCTGCTGTGATTCCTTTCAGATTATTGCTGAAGGTGCCAACGGGCCTACGACTCCTGAAGCTGACAAAATCTTCTTGGAGCGTAACATCATGGTTATCCCTGTAAGGTTCTATTGTGACCTTTGATTTTTCATTACAAGGGTAACATTTCTGTAAATTGTAGCAAGATGTTATTTACTGAAGGTTTTTGTTAATAGCAATTCATTCTTTTAAAGTGTTTTTTAACACCTGATGTCTGGGAAATGGGTGTCAATGTTCTGTAAGATTGGTAGAAATTACTTAAAGATCAACTGTAAATGACTAAAGACAACTGTCACATGAAGGCTACATATTTGGAAGAGAGAATAATCCACAATCGATTCTTAAATCTGTAGTTTTGCATTGTGGA